GGCGGAGGAATCGAACTCTGGTCGGCCATGTTGGCCGCTTGTAAGGCAGACGCCCTACCCGCTGTGCTATCGCTCCAGCCCTTTAGTAAGATAAGTTTTCTATTGTCCCTAGAGAAGCAGAGATTCCCAACATTTAGTAAGATTCCCAACATTTAGTAAGCAGAGATTCCCAACTTTAGTAAGATAAGTTTTCTATTGTCCCTAGAGAAGCAGAGATTCCCAACATTTTCATAATCTAATGGAACACTGGTAGAGATAAACTCTTCTTCAGCTGCAATTCACCATCAACAAAGTACAGCAACATTAAAAAAAACAAAAAAACACTATGCTACACCCCACCCCACAAGCCTTCTTCCCACAGGTTCTTATACAGTCCTCTGAAGATGTTCAACCAGGGTATTTTTTTATAGACAGTAGCAAGTTTTCAGCTTTATCTAAAAATATATCAAATGTAATTTCCTTACTTTTGATTCACTGAGGAATTTAAAATATTATGTGAGGGGCTGGAGTGAGAGCACAGCGGGTAGGGCGTTTGCCTTGCACGCAGCCAACATGACTAACACAGGTTCGATTCCCAGCACTCCATATGGTCCCCTGAGCACCTCCAGGAGCAATTCCTGAGTGCATGAGCCAGGAGTAACTCCTGAGCATTGCTGGGTGTGACCCAAAAAGCAAAAAAAAAAAAAAATTATGTGAATACGTGTCTGTTAACAAATTAGTTAACTTGGTGTAATAAGTCTAAAGCACACTGCTTCTCTACGTAAGATTGATTATTTTATTTTACTTTTTTTTTTTGGTACGAGGATCACTTACAGCTCAATGCTCGGAGCTATTCCCAATACGGCTTGGGGAACCATGCAGTGCTGAGGATAGAATCTAGGGCCCCCACAAACAAAATGTATGTGCTACACACAGACCCTTCAGCTTGCTGTTGTTGTTGTTGTTGTTGTTGTTTTCTTTATACAGCCCCTTTGAATTATCTCACCAACCCAGGACCAATAAATAAAAGGGGGAAAAATTGTATTGGATGGGGGGAAAGGCTCAAAGAGCAGTAGTATATGTTTTCCATTCAGGAGCCCTGGATTCAATCCCCAGCATTACGTGACCCTTCAAGCACTTCCAGGAATGGCCACCAAGAACAGAATCAGGAATAGCGCCCCAAGTTCCACCAAGTGTGGCCCCCTCAAAAACAAAAAGAAAATAAAACAAAACAAAAAGGTAGTACAGTTCGAAAACCAAAGTACCTATGCCATAAATATACTTATTATGAGGACTAGATGTTAGATAAGGGTAAACTTGAATGATTGGTTCCTTGGCATGGAGTAACATTGACAAGTTATATTTTCTGTGAATTTGTTGTTACAATATTTAAAGGATACTGTTAATACTTTATTCCACAAAATTCTCATTTACAGAGAAGAAAGAAGTGTCAGAGATAAAGCAATTTATTCTAGGTCACACACAGAGTTAGTGAGAATGCCTAAAGGGATCTAAATTCATTTGTTTTGGGGTCATACCTGGCGGTGCTCAGGGCTTACTCCTGTCTATGCACTGAGGCATCACTCCTGGTGGGGTTCAGGGACCATATGAAGAGCTGGGGATTAGAAGTGGGTCAGAAACGTGCAAGGCAAACGCTCTACCGACTGTACTATTGCTATGGCTCCTAAATTCACTTTTGACCCACCATAAACGTATATTACGGGCACTGTGTGTTAGTAAGTGCCACAAAGAAGCATCTAACGAAGCCTGCTGATCTGAGTCAAGGACACTACCAACTATCAACGCATGTGGCCTATACCTCACTTTCTTAAGTATAAAGCAAGGGCCGGAAGATAGCTCAAGGAGCTGAAGCACATGCTTTGCTTGTGGGAGAAACCAGAACCACATGGTTCCCTGAGCACCACTGGGAATGACCGCTGAGCACTTTACAGGAAAGAGCCCCCAACCACTACCAGTTATGACCCAAAAACTAATAAAAGAAAAAAAATGAAGTGAGATTACTTTGATATACACAAATGTTCAAAAATATTGGGTACTAAAGACTACAAATTCACAAAAGTCAAAAAGTTATATTATAATTGAAACCCAAGCACAAAAATTTATAAGTCTACAACTGTACCTCATGGTGTCTCACTAATAAAAATAAAAAATAAAATAATAAAATTTTTTTTAAAAAAGTTATATTATTATGAATTCACAATAGCCAGGATTTTCAAGGCCCTAAGATTTCAAGCCAAAGCAAGAGTTACAGGGGTTAAGGAATGTGGCCAACCCTGGTTCAATTCCAGCAGCCACAGTGATCCCTCAGCACAGAACCAGGAGTCAGCCCTCAGTGCCATCTGGTGTGGGCCCCAAAATAGAATAAACCAGGAAAAAAAAAAGGAAAAGAAAAGAAAAGGTTCTAAAGTTTCTTTAATTCTTTTTTGGTTGTTGTTTTTGGTAATACCTGGCTGTGTTCAGGGTTTACTCCCGGCTCTGCACTTAGGTATTGCTCCTTTGGGGCTCAGGGAACCATATGGAGTGCTAGGGATCAAACCCAGGTCAACTGATCAGGTGTGTGCAAGGCATGGGCCTTATTCCCTGTACTATCGTTACAGTTCTTATTTATTTTGGTTTTGGGGGCCACACTCTTGGTTGCTCAGAGGTCACTCTTGGCTCTGCACTCAGGAATATCCTGGGGATAATTCCAGGGGTACAGGATGCCAGGGTCCACCATGTGGAAAGCCAAAGTACTCATTCTTCTGTACTATCTCTCCAGCCCCTCTTAAATTTACTTTTTGAGAAACCTAGATATCACTAAAATTTCCTTTGGTTGCCTATTCAATTCTTTTCCAGGACTTTCCCCTTGTTCACCAGAGGGTAGCGCTTTAAATTTTAGTTTTTTTGAATTTTCTTGGGCCAGAGCAACAGTACAGCAGGTAGGGCTTGTCTTGCATGTGACCAACCCAGGTTTCATCCCTAGCACCCCATATGGTCCCCAGAGCTGACCAGGAGTGACCCCTGAGAGCAGAGCCAGAAGTAAACCTTGAGAACCACCAGGTGTGGCCCCAAAACAAAACATTATTTCTTCAACTCCAAAAGCATAAAATATATTTTCCTTAAGCCTATTCCTCAAATTGCTCTGTAATTAGCTTAGCTCCCTCCCTGTTTCCTCTCCCAAAAACTGTAGTCATATCTCTTTCTCATTTCCACTAATTTCTTTGGTCACTTCATACCCTCTCAAAATCTGCTTGTACCTAGCAAAACAAATGTCCAGAAGTAGGCCAAAACAGTCCCATTCAGGTCCCAGCTCATACTACAGCATTTAATACATAATACAGTTTCTTAATACAGTATTTTACTTCTAGCTCTTTTGATTTCTGATAAACCCAGAATCTGTAAATTCTTACCAATAAGGATATCACAAAATACCCATCCTATCTAGATTTCTATTCTGCCTGCTTCAAAGTCACTACCATATGGAGTCAATATAACTAATGAAAAAATATGGTATCTGTAGTGAAAGTAATTTTAAAAATTGCTTCAAATAGTAATTATTCTATCACATTATTTAAGACACTAACTAGAATTTAGACCCCAATACCTTTTTTTTAAAAAAAGCACATGTTCTCAGTACCCACTTTCCGAACTGTCATCTACTGCATAACCAAAAAAAGACAGTACTTTTCAGCCTACTTTCTTAAAGTTTTCAAAGTTCTTTATACCAGAGAATCTCAATCTTTTGTGAGCGAGCAGAAACCAACTTATTTGCCTCAAAAGAAAAATCATGTGAGGGAAAGGCAGGACAGCCTCTTTTGCAAACGTCTGACATCTGTCATTAACCCTTCTAAGCATTTATACAACAGAATTTAGAATCTGAATTACCACGAGGATATAATTAATATTCATCTGCCCAAAAGCATTGATTTCGTGTGACAAAACCATTTTGAAACTTCAGGCAAGTGCAACTATCCCCCCCCCCCCCAAATACATTTCACTTGAAAAAAGTAATACTCCATAGTGAACTACTAAGATACTAGGACAGCGAAGGTAAAGGCAAACTTTGCATTAGGAAAAACGATTCTAAATTTAGTACCCTCAGCTACAGCACGGAAAGCCCTCACACCACCATTCACAAGTCTCAGTTCAAGCAATTTATTTTTGGCAAGCCAAATCACAGCTGTCAACGCTGGTTTTTTTCCACCCCCAAATTACATAAAGTATTTTGGAAAAAATGTAGACATCTTCAACTGGGGGAAAAGTAAGTTACAAGTACCGTCTGTTATTATAAATGCTCTTTGGAGAATTAAAAAAAAAAAGTCACACGAAAGGGGGTTAGCAAAAAAAAAAAGGCAAACCAACCAACCCTAGAAGATGCAGTAGAGCCCCCTTGCTCCCGAAATAAAACTCCTGGTGGTTGTAACAGCAGCAGCAGCAGCAGCAGCAGCGCTACTCCCGACAGAAGTTTTCAGCTGTCACTTCTAACAGCTGAGCGCTTCCTAGGAGAGAAGCGACAGGCCGAGGAGAGAGGCGGTTGCGGGAGGTCTGAACACTCGAAATCTTCCTCCGAGCGGAACCTTTCGCGCTTCACCTGCACTTACGGGACACCCAGCGGACGCAGGCAACCACCCGCTCCCCCCCCCCCCCACACACACACACCGCCCGCCCCAACACGCGCTTCCACCACTCGCGCCCCGAAACGCTCAAGTCCGAAAGATCCGGGAACTGACCACGCGCCGCTTCTCCTTCCCTCCACCAAGCCCTCGGGGGCTGTGCGGATCCGGGGCTCGGGGGGCGCGCGACCTGCACCTGCGAGCCCCGCTGCGGGTCCACACCTAAGGGCCAGGTCCCGGGGGCCCCGCCCGCTCTCCCGCCCCGGGGCCGCGCGGAGCCGCAGCTCCCCCAGCAAACTCCACGCGCCTCCCGGGGGTCTCCGCGCTCTCAGACCCGCCAGGCTTCCCGGGCCCGCGCCACCGCCCCGGCCCTGTCACCTCGGGCCCCCCCGGGACCCCGGGCCTCACCCCCTCCTCCAGCTCATCCTCAGAGCCCGCGTCCTCTGGCTGGTCCAAGTCTATGTCAAACACTCCTGCCATGTCCTCAGCTTCCTGGTCTCGGAAGTCTGGCGCTGAGTAAAAGCCGTCCCGCCTCCGTCGTCGCCTCATGGGCCCGGACCCGCCGCAGCCACCGCCGCCGCTGCCGCCATCATCGGCTGCTTGGCGTAGTGCGTCTGCGCCTAGGCCCTCGACTGGCTACTCCGGTTCAGCGGCGGCGCATGCGTGCACGGCTCTCTGAAGCCCAACTGTGGGCAATGGACATGCGTAGAACTCTCGCCGGGAGCCAGGTCCGGGCAAGAACATGCGCACATCGCCAGTCGAAGCCGCGCTGGGCAGCCGGAGCATGCGCGTTGTCCTCGAAAGCGGCTCATGGACTGTGAGCATGCGTGCCGTGTCTGAAGTTGATAAATTGAAATTGAACATGCGTAATTAACCTCCCTGAAAACACGCACACACACACACACACACACACACACACACGCGCGCGCGCGCTCACACACACACGCACACACACACACATTAAAAAAAAAAAACTTCGTTTGTAGAACATGCGCATTCGTTCTGGCTAGGGTGGGATTTTTTTTTTTTTGGAGGGCGGGGTGTTGGTAGTAGGGTTTAAAGTGAGCATGCGCATAAGGCTTGCTGAAGTTTGAACTGATCTAAAACGGCTGGTTCGGGGGTTGCTGTGAGTGAAGTTAAAGCGGGAACTCCTGCTGGTGATGGGGGAGAGGGAACGGTTTGGTGTTGCTATTTCCAAGTTCAGTGGCCTTTCGAAAGTCGTATAGCCCTTAGGAGCTTGTTTCCTTATCTGTAAAATGAGAATAATTATATCTATTTTGCCAGGATTGTTTGAAACATGAGTCTTCTAAGCTGTTTCCAGTGCTGCACAGATCTAGTGTGAGGTATTTATCAAAATTCATCTTTCATTGTTTAAAAATAGGGAAAAGTTGCTCTAATATTTCATCTTGGTTTTCTCTAAGCTTTATTTCTCTTGTCAAACATGCCTTTTTAATAAACATTATCATAGTTACGGGGCTAGAAAGATGATTGGTGGGGCCAGGCAGGCAGAACTGTGGGCCAGGTACTTTCCTGGAACGCAGATGAGCTGGGTTCCATCTTTTTTTTTTTCTTCTTATATTTATTTATTGAATCACTGTGGGAAAAGTTACAAAGCTTTCAGGTTTAAGTGTCGGTCATACAATGATCAAACACCTTTTCCTTCACCAGTACTGATTTGTCACCACCAAGAACCCCAATACACCCTCCTCCCACCCCTCCAAATGCCTGTGAGGCAGATGATTTCTATTTACCTCTTCTCTACATTGGTTACATTCATTATTTCGACAAAAGATGCACCATTATTGTTTAGAATTCCCCCCCCCCCCCCCAACAATCAGAATTGCTGAAAAGGCATTGTGAAATACTTTGTTTTCTATAGCTGGTTATGAGAATCATATAATGTCACGCGGCTGCTATCGCAGCTGTGCGATTTTGGATTTCTGCAAAGAGCCAGATAATTTGACATCCCATATAGTCCCCCGAGCACCGCCAGAATGATCCCTAAGCACAGAGCCAGGAGTAAGCCCTGAGCATAGCAGGGTGTGGCCCTGAAACAAAAAGAACTAAAAACCAAAAAAAAGCGAAAAAGATGAATGGTAAAGAGCATGCCATTAATTAAAAAGGAGATAATATGGTTAAAGTGTGTTTATTGAGCTAACTTGTGTATTCTATATATCCATGTGGTTTGAAGTGTACACTCCTGTGTCTTCAACCAACACACATTTTAAAATTCTCTCTCTCTCTCTCTCTCTCTCTCTCTCTCATGTTTTTTTGGGCCATACCCGACCGTTCTCAGGGTTTACTCCGGGCTCTGTGTTCAGGGATCACTCCTGGTGCTGCTGGGGTACAGGGGTGGTCAGCATCTGGGGATTGAACCTGTGTTGACTGAGTACAAAGCAATCACCCTACCTGCTGTACTGTCTCTACAGATATATTTTATTGGTGTATACATTAGCACATGAATGTTTATTCTGTTAATGGGTTCTCAAAGCCTCTGTTTTTGTTTTTTGTTAACAGGTTCCCTGGCTCACTTTATTTCTTCATTTATTTACGTTGTTGTTCCAGCATGTCAATTGTAACAGTACAACTTGGTCAGTGTGGAAATCAGATTGGTTTTGAAGTGTTTGATGCTTTATTTAGAGATTCATACTGTCTTGAGGGACTCTGCTCTAAAAGAGAGAATGAGGCATATCAAGCATCTTGCAAGGAAAGATTTTTTAGTGAAGAGAAAAATGGAGGTATGTATAGTCCATAGTCCTTTCTTTACTTTAACATGCAACCTCTTCAAGCCTAAATACTCACTGATGTTCAGACATTTTTTCCCCATTTTTCTAACACTGTCTTTTCTGTATTAACCACTTTTGCCTCTCTAGTGGCTGCTTTTCATTAGCATGAGCGTGCTTTGATCCTATGGATCTAAAGCCAGACAAAACTTACCTCTTAAATGTGTACCTTTATTATCATTTTTTCCCCTCCCTGCCCACCTCAGCCAGGGATTAATCCCAGGGCCTCACGCATGTAGACAAATGCTCTACTGCTGATTTGCATCCCAGCTCTAGCTCTGTTTATTTATTTTTGTTTGTTTGTTTTTGGGCCATACCCAGTGATGCTCAGGGCTTACTCCTGACTTTGTGCTCAGGGGATCACGCCAGGTGATGCTTAAGAGACCATATAGGGTGCAGGGGATCTAACCTGGGTTCAACCTGCAAGGCTCAGGTTCAACTCTACCAACTGTACTATCACTCTGACCCCTCTCTTTTCCTTTTCAGGCAAGATTGTCAAAGGATAATCTTTATCCACTAAAATTCTGCTTCTGTCCTAAAACAGAAAACATTCCAGTAACCTCCTTAATACCAGATCCAATGACTTTTTCTTTTTTGTTTTCCCATTCTCTGCAGATCCTATAAGCCACTGGGCTCTGTGTTATTCTATCATAATTCACTTGAATTTTCTATATTAAATATAACTAAATGTAAACTAAAAAACACCTTCTTTGAAACTCCTCCTCTGAATTTTTCTTCTGCAGTGGTCACATTTCAGACACATCTCTGTCCTAACTGTATAGCTGACTCTGGACTAATATTCATTTACCTTGTAATTTTCTCCTTTTATTTTTTTATTTTTATTTTTAATTTTTTTGCTATTTGGGTCATACTCGGCAATGCTCAGGGGTTACTCCTGGCTCTGCTCTCAGGAATTACCCCTGGCAGTGCTCCGGGGACCATATGGGATGCTAGGAATCGAATCCAGGTCGGCCACGTGCAAGGCAAACGCCCTAACTGCTGTGCTATCGCTCCAGCCCCAATTTTCTCCTTTTATACTGGTGACTCTCAAATATCTGTCCTTGCTCTGTCCAGCCTAATTACCAGATAGTTTTACTGCATCTCCCATGTGCACCTCAGGGTCAGTATCTCTATTCCAAGAACGTTCATTCTTTTTCCCCCATTGAAACTTGGGCTTTTGGGGCAGAAAAGATGGTTTAATGGGCTGAGCATATGGTTTGCATATAAGAGATTCAGATTCAAGACCCTGGCATCACATGGTCCTCTGAACACTGCCAGGAGTGACGCCTGAGCACTGCCAGATGTGGCTCACAAATCAAAAAGAGAAAATAAGTAAATAAATAAAACTTGGGCTCTTCTAGTTCATTAACCATCAAACATAAACTTAATTTACCTCCTATATACATATCTCCTGATATCTACCTTTTTCATCTTTGTCATTGCCTTAGTTCAGAGTCTTGTCTTTTCTTACCTGGATTGTTTCAAGGCAATCACATCTGTCCTCTGTGCTGCTGTGTTAGACAAGACCTCTGGCCAAGAGAGACAGTTGCATGGACTGAGTGCTGCTTTGCTTGGAGGCTCAGGTTTGATCCCCAGCACCACATGTCCCATGAGCATCACTGGGAGAAATCCCTAAACACACCCACAGTAACTGTCTAGCACAGCCAAATGGGACCCCAAATCCCACCCACTCTCCTCCCTCTCCCCAAATAAAAAGACATCTAACTATTCTTCCTCTGCTTGAAAGTTTTCAGGGGGGCATGTTGCCTGAAAGATACATTTTCTTTTTTTTTCTTCTTTTGGCTTTTTGGGTCACACCCGGTGATGCACAGGGGTTACTCCTGGCTCTGCACTCAGGAATTACCCTGGCGGTGCTCAGGGGACCATATGGGATGCTGGGAATCAAACCCGGGTTGGACGTGTGCAAGGCAAACGCCCTACCCGCTGTGCTAGCTCCAGCCCCACATTTTCAATGTCTAGCCTTGCATACAAGGACTTCAGTATCTCAGGCTGCCTTCCAGCATCATCTATCACTTCTCCCACCTCCTCCTCCCTCTTCCACTTCAACAGTCCTGAGATTGTTGTTTTCATGGCATTTGTTTGCTTATTTTTGTTCTTGTAGGGATTTGTTGTTGTTATTATTATTTTGGTTTGGGGGTCTCACCCAGCAGTGCTCAGGCCTTATTCCTGTCTCTGTGCTCAGGGTCATTCTTGGCATTGTTCAGGGGACCATAGAGGATGCTGAGGATCAAACCCAGTCAGCCATATGCATGGCTAGAGCCTTCCCCACTGTACTGTCTTTCCAGTGCCTTTTTTTGTTTTTGTTTTTAGGCCACTTTCCGTAGTGCTCAGGAACTACTCCTAGGCTAATGCTTGGGGATGGTGGTGCTCAATGGGGATCATGTGGCATAGGGAGAACAAGCCTGGAACTTCTGCATGAAAAATAAGTGCTCTAAACCATCAATCTGTCTCTCTGGTCTTGATTTTTAGGTTTTGGGGTCACACTTGGGGGCTACTGCTGGCTCGGCACTCAAGGTACCACTGGCAAAGCATGTGCTTTAGCCCTTTGAGCTATCTCCCCGGCACTTCGTGGCATTTTTGTGCCTTGGAATATGGTGCTCTGTTAGTGTGAATTGAGCCTGGGTCATATCAATCATACTATGATTAACTGTTGCATTTCCTCTCTCCCACTAGTTGTTCTAGGCCAGATAGATAATTGTCTTTATCTCTGTATTTTCTCATCACTGTCCTTGGCACTTCTAAGAACTCAGCAGATGTTTTGATACCTGATCCACATTATTTTAGCCCACATTAATTTTAACCCACATTAATTTTAGCCCACATTAATTCACACTGTTTAGCAGAATTAACATTCTAAGCCATCTTTATATACCTGCTGTTGCCCACCTCAATTTCTAAGCAGTATAACACATCTTTCTATCCTCAACCTCTGGAACTTTTGTTTGTTTTTGATGCTGGGGGATACTCCCAGCTGTGTGCTCAAGGGTCAGTTCTGAATGTCCTAGGGGGTACCTTCTGATCCCTGAAAATCCAGAGATCAAACCCTGGCCTCCTGAATGCAATGCATACACTCCAACCCTTTTTGAGTTAACTCCCCTGTATTTTACCTTTTTTAGAATTAGAAGTTTTTGCTCTGAATCAGCCCAAGCAAAACATATGAAACATTTGGCTTTTGATTCTTTTTTTCCCCACTTCTCTAAGTTCCAGTTGCTCGAGCCGTACTTATTGACATGGAACCAAAAGTTATCAATCAAATGATGTCAAAGGCTGCCCATTCTGGCCGATGGAAATATAGTCAGCAAGCATGCCTCTGTCAAAAGCAAGGTTCTGGAAACAACTGGGCATATGGGTAAGAATGGGTTCTCATAATTTTCATTTTAAATAGAGCTGCACAGTCAGTGGTGTAGTTACAACTTGATGTAATATGCACAAAATCTAAAAACCCTCTTTTAAAATTTAAAGTGTTGGATCCACAACGATAATAAAGCAGATAGGATGTTTGCCTTACATGTTGCTGGCCCAGGTTCAATCCCTGCACTCCATATGGTCCCCTGAGTACTGCCAGGAGTAATTTCTGAGTGCAGAGCCAGGAGTAACTCCTAAGCATTGTCAGATGTAGATCAAATTAAAAATTAAAAGTTAAATTTAAAGTATCGTTTCACAAAATAAGAAACTCTTTGGTGGGCGGGGGGGGGGAGGATAGTTTGGGCCACACCCAGTGATGTTCAAGGGCTCTCTTTTCAGGAGTGACCCCCAGCAGTGCTCAGTGGGCCATATATAGTGCTGGGGATCCAACCAGGCCACCGCCAAAGTAGCATGCAAAGTAAAAGCCTTACTCCCTGTACTATTTCTCCAGCCCCCAAGAAAAAGCAGCACTCGTGGTTCAGGTCAATGTAATAATGATAAAACTAGGTGTCTTTTTCTTCACAATTAGAGTGTCAACAAATTTATTCATCTATACCTTTATCTGACAGATATTCCAATTAATGGGGAATGCAGCAAGGTAGTAATATTTCATGGGATTCTTCCAGAAATTCTGATTAAATTGGTTTGAGATGAAGTGCAAGTATTGGATTTTTCAAAGCTTTCCTAGATGATTCTAAAGTGCAACAAAATTACAAAACCATTGCTTTAGAAGGCTTGTTATGAATATCATATATTATGTTGTACCATAAACTTGTACTCAGGGCTTATTCCTGGCTCTGCTCTCAGGGACTCCTGGTAGGACTTGGGGAACAATGTGGGCTGTCAGGGATTGAATCCTGCCTGGCCACATGCAAGATAGCACTCTACCCATTGTATGGTCCCAAAAATAATATTGTGTATGTGTGTGTGTGTGTGTGTGTGGTTTGTTGTTCTGTTTTGGAGCCACATTGTTGCTGCCCAGGGATTGTGTTTGCAGGATCATGGAATGAAACCTCAACCCTTGCATGTAAAGCTTGAAGTCAGCCCATTTGAACACAACTCATCTCTCTGACCCTGATCATTGAATTCTTTTTTTTTTAACAGTGAAGTAAATAGATTTTACTTGGAGGATTTTTAAGGTGTGGAGGGGGAGAGAGTGAGAGAGAGTAACGTACTGGAGAGAACACAGGCTTCTCTGAGAGTGAAGAGAGAGCCCCTACACACATTCTAGCATTAGACATGAATGTACACATCTCAAGAGGGGAGATGCAGGCGACACATGTGCTTGGGCACGACATGTGCTCCGCCACATGGATGTAAGCAGCACATGGGCTCAGGCAGCATATGTGCCGATCATTGAATTCTTTAGTTAAAGAAATGACCTGCAGGGGGCGGCCAGAGATAGTACAGTGGGTAGGAGATAGTACAGTGGGTAGGATACTTGCCTTGTATGTGGCAGACACGAGTTCAATCCCTGATACCCCATATGGTCTCTTAAACTCACTGAGAGTGATCCCTGAGTATAGTCAGGAATAAGCCCTGAGCATGGCTGGGTATGGACCAAAACCCAAAACCAAAACCAAAACAAAAGAGAGAGAGAGAAAGAAAGAAATGACTTATAGAAAGAACTTTCTGGGGTTTGGAGAAATAGTACAGGAGTTGAGGTACATGTCTTCCATGCAGCCAACTTGGTTTTGATCTCTGACAGCACATATAGCCCCCTAGAATCACCAACTTCAGCCCTGAAGGCACCTGGGTACCTTCAGGTGTGACTCTGTTGACTCTGAGCACCATTCGGGTGGCACAAGTAGCCCCCAGCTGGCCCCCAAGCCTGCCCGGAGTAATCCCTGAGCACAGAAACAAGAGTTAGCCTCATGCACCACTAGGTGCAGCCCCCAAACCAAAAACTTAAAGTAAAATAAAAACTTAAAAGCCTTCACTAACCTGTATATTGATTTTTGCTTTCCATTACTGTTCAAATTGAAAGGTATTTGTATTTGTTTCTTTTGCATTTCATAGATACTCTGTTCATGGACCCAGGCATGAAGAATCTATAATGAACCTAATCCAGAAAGAAGTGGAGAAATGTGACTCTTTGAGTGGCTTTTTTATTATAATGAGTATGGCTGGGGGCACAGGATCAGGGCTGGGAGCTTTCATTACACAGAATTTACAAGATCAATACTCAAACTCTCTGAAAGTGAATCAGATTATATGGCCTTATGGAACTGGTGAGGTATGAGCTTTTGTGTAATATTTATATTTGGTGTTCTTTGCAGTTAAAATAACTATTATAAAGAGAGACCTTACTCTCTAGAAATGTTAAGTTCTCGTTTCAGGATGTTACTTTCATGAATAATTGACTTTGCTTGCAGTAGGACCAGGTAGACTGCTCAGTAGGCTGAGGCAGATGCTTTGCATGATGAAGGCCTGAGTTAATCCCAGCACTGCAAGGAACCTGTGTGCCACTGAGAGTGATCCCCAAGCACAGAACTAAAGCAGCTCCTGAGCGCTGCTTTCATTTCTATTTTAACTGCTGAATGTGCCCACCCCCCAAAAAAGAACTTTTTCAAACAAATGAGGTACCTTTGTTTTTTAAAATTCCAAGGAAACGCTCAAGCAATAGTACAGTTGGTAGGGTTTTTGGGGGATTGTAGGTGTCATTGCCAGCCTGGTAAATGTAAAGAATTTTCATGTCTTTTATTTGAGAGGAAATTTATATTTGAGCTAATCACTCACCATCCGCACAGTAGGAGAAATTAAAAATGGAGTTAAGGAGGCCAGAGAGATAGTACAGGAGTTAAGATGCTTGTCTTGCATCCAGCTGACCTCAGTTCAATTCCAGACATCAACAACACATATTGCCTCTGACACACAAAGCCTGGAAAATCCCTAAGAATAGCTGGGTGTGTCCACCCTCTAAGATAAGTAACTATAGGAACTGATGTAGGAAAATGTGACAGTAATCATTTATCAAGTCCTTATATAAGTGCTTTACTTGTGTATCATTACTCCTTAATACTTTCAGAGTTTAACATAATTCTCTTGGGGGGGGCGGGTAGCACTGGTGTTTGGGCCACACCTGGACTACTCCTGACTCGGTGCAAAGAGTCATTTCTGGAAGTGCTCAGGGTCATTTCTGGAAATACCTAGGGATCACATGCCATGTCAGGAATTGAACCAGGGTTGGCTGCATGCACACAGACACTTTAATCCCAATACAGTCTCTCTAACCCCATAATTCTTTTGCTCTGTTTTGTTTTGGGCCATACTTGGTACTGCAAAGGGCTTACTGACTCTGTGCTCAGGCATCACTCTTGGCAGGACTCTGGGGCACATGTGCGGTGCCAGGGATCAATCCCTGGTTGGCTTCATGCAGGACAAGTGCTTTACCTATTGGACTACCTCTCTGCCCCCCACCTAATAATTCTTATATCATCTTATAAATGAGCTACCTGAGGCATTTAAATGATTTGTTTATAATCTTATATCTGAAGTTTGGAGAGGTCACATATCAACTGAGATTTAAATAATTTGTTTAAGATCATGTATCTCAGAGTTGGAGAGATAGAATTGTAGGTAAGGTGCTTGTCTTACACACAACTAACCCAGGTTCTATTTCCGTTATCCCATACAGTACCCCAAGCCCTCCAGGAGTGATTCCTGAGTGCCAAGCCAGGAGCAATTCCTAAATATTTGCTTTTTCTTTGGGGGGGGGGGGTCACACCTGGTGATGCACAGGGGTTACTCCTGGTTCTGCACTCAGGAATCACCTCTGACGGTGCTCAGGGGACCATATGGGATGCTGGGAATTGAACCCGGGTCAACCGCGTGCAAGGCAAACGCCCTGCCCGCTGTGCTATTGCTCCAACCCCAGCAATTCCTGAATATTGCCTGGTGTGGCCAAAAAAGATCATGTGTCTAGAAAGTCATAGAACAAGTATTTGAACCTGAGCAAGATGCCTTCAGTGGGAACTTTTTTTTTTCCCCAAGAAATTGGGTGGTGAGGGGAGAGTGGTGGGCATACCATACTGAGTGGTGTCCAGAGGTTACTCCTGACTCTGTGCTCGGTACTTACCCCTGGAGTATGGAGGACCAAGTGTTGTCAAGGATTGAATCATATTTGGCTCTATGTAAGGCAAGTGCCTTAACCCCTGTACCATCTTTTTGGCCCAGAAGCTACTTTCTCTTTTGGTTTTTGTGCTACCTGGAAGTGCTCAGGGCTTATTCCTGACTCTGTGTTGAGGAATCTGGCATACTTGGGGGACCATGTAGGGTGCTGAGATTGAACCTGGATTCAACCTCCTCAGCATGCAAGGCAAACACCCTATCCACTGTACTACTCTCCAACCCAGAAGCTACCTTCTTAACCACTAATCTCTCCTGTCTTTCTTACTGACTCTCTTCCTGTTCAGGTTATTGTTCAGAACTACAACTCCATTTTGACTCTTTCTCACTTGTACCGATCTTCAGAAGCACTTCTAGTCCATGAGAATGATGCTCTTCATAAGATCTGTGCAAAACTGATGAAAATCAAGCAGATCTCATTCAGCGATATAAATCAAGTCCTCGCACATCAGCTGGGAAGTGTGTTCCAACCTACTTATTCTGCAGAGGGCACGTGTAACTACCGGAGAAATCCATTAGGTGTGTATCCCCCTCATGCACAATTGGCAGGAAAGTCTTCTGTTCTGAAAGGTGTCTGTCCCTAGCTCCTCTCATATATATATATATATCTAAAGATATATTAGGTTTTTAACTGAGAAAACTTTCTGAAGCATTGCTTAGCTCGGAGAAGTTTTTGAGAAGTTACTAAATTTCTCAAAAGAGTGATAAATACCTACTAATTCCATTTCTTTTCTTTTGGGTTATTGGGTCACACCCATCTGTGCTCAGGACTGGTTTTGTGCTCAGAGATCACTACTGGGGTTGGGGGACCATATGTGGTTCTAGGGATCAAACCCATGTCAGCCACATGCACCGCAAAGACCCTACCTGCTCTACTATTTTTTCATCCCCTGTCTACTTTTCTAGAGAATTTTTTTGTCAATAGGTTCTGTATATCATTTAGTCATAGAAATATATAAAAGAATGAGAAAATTTTCTAAAGGAGTATTTACTGATGACACAATGATTATAAAATATTAACTCTCATTCTTGCTTTGTTTTCCTGAGATTTAGCTGAATATTTTGTTCACATTTCCAGTTACCTAGCTTCATTACCCTTGTTTCCTTTTTCAGAGTATGTGTTTTTTTTTTCAGTCATCCTAAAATAGATGGTGGAATGAAATAGTCTGTAAAATACAGTCTCTGAAATTTTATGTACTTTTTATAGTTTAAGCATGTCTTGCCTTTGAGTACAAAATATATTTGCCTGAAAAAAAATCACAGCAATGTTATATAAAGATAATAGGAACAATGTGGCATTTTAAAATCTAATTCAGGGCCAGACAGTACAGTTGGTAAAACATGGGTAAGGCAGGTGTTGGCACATTTGCTGAAAATCACTATTATAAAAGCTGACGAATACCAACTTCTCTCATTCCTGTCCCAATAAACTAGTAGTTTCTGCTCCTCACATGGGATCATTTAATATTTGTGCATGTATGGATTTACATGCCTGGCTTCTCTTGCTGATCATGATATCTCTGGGAATCATTCACGTGTGTATCAAAAGTTCATGCCTGCTGGGGCTGAAGAGGTAGTACAGGGGGTAGGGTGTTAGTGACTGACCTGGGTTTGATCCTTGGCACCCCATATGGTTCCCCCAAGTACTACCAGAAGTGATCCCCAAGCACAGATCCAATACTAAGCCTAAAGCATAACCAAGTGTGGCCCAAACTTAAAAAAAAAAAAGTTTATGCCTGTGCTGGAAAGATAAAAGTTAAAGCATTTGCCTTATATGCAGCTGATCCAGATTCCATCCCTAGCACTACAAACGGTCTCCTGAGCACTACCAAGAGTGATTCTTGAGCACAGAACTAGATTAAACTAGACTTAACTAGATTAAAACTGTTCATTGTGACTCAAAACAACCAAAACTCTAATGCATACTTTTTTTCCTTCACAGGAGATTTAATGGAGAGTTTAGTTCCCCATCCTGAATTTAAGATGCTGGGTATTCGTAACATTCCACAAATGTCTGAGAACTTGCTGGCATATAGCACGTTTACTTGGGCTGGCCTCCTGAAGCATTTGAGACAGATGCTCATTTCTAATGCGAAAATGGAAGAAGGTAAAGTGTATTTTACAAACCAGCAGCCCACAGGCTGGGAAAGATGCCGGCCCTAGAGTGCTTAGTGTGATCTGGCCCCATGGAAACCACTGGCTTTCAGTCCAGAGAAACTCCAGCAGAAATTCTTACGGTCTCCCTGGAGGCGTCTTAATCACTTCAAATTTTGTTTCCCCTGAAAATTTCAGATGAGTACCATGTTTGTTTCCATTCCATTTTTTAAAACCAAAGTAATATGTGAATATAATTTTTCAGAATATTCTATAAATAGTTACTGTTACTGTGTCTGGCATATCGAATACGTCACGCGGAGCTTGCCAGGCTCTGCCATGCGGGCGAGATACTCTCGGTAGCTTGCCGGGCTCTCCGAGAGGGGCGGAGGAATCGAACTCGGGTCGGCCATGTTGGCTGCGTGCAAGGCAAACGCCCTACGGCTGTGCTATCGCTCCTCACACAGTACATGATCTGTAAAATTCAGTTTGTTTTCCTTTACTGAATCTCTTGAGATTCCATCCTATTGTTATATTTATCAATAATTATCCTCACACCTACCACCACACCTCAGATACTCAGCGAAAACTGTTTCATATTTTCCTCAAAACCGAGGAGTCGAAATCACTTTAGGTGAACCAGCTAAAAAGTTAAACACTCTTTTCTTTTCCCTTTTTTTGGTTTTTTGGGTCACACCTGGAGATGCTCAGGGGTTACTCCTGGCTCTGCATTCAGGAATTACTCCTAGCAGTGCTCAGGGGACCATGTGGAATGCCAGGGATTGAAACCTGGGTTGGCTGCGTGCAAGGCAAACACCCTAACCCCCCCCCCCCCCACCCCGTACTACTGCTTCAAGCCCCAAAGTTTAACACTCTTTAGCAGTTAAAAACAAACACCTTTCAGGTCTTTTAAGTCATTTGTAACATCTGCTTTTCTCCTGGTGGTAGGTATTGATTGGCAGGTCCAGCCTCCCTTCTCAGGACGCCCCCCACTGGGCAAGAAGGCCCTGGGCTCCGAGCGGCACTGCAACACCTCCCTGGCTAACCTGCTCATCCTGCGTGGGAAAGAGGTGCACAGTGCAGAGCTGGGTAAGCAGCAGTTAGGGGAAACATTAAAATGGAGGTTTTGCTCATATACATGCTGAAAGAAAGAAGACCCTGAATTTATTCTTAGAGAAAGAAAGATGGTAACCCCGCGGTTTTGTTTTCAATTTTATTATTTTAGTTTTGGGGCTACGCCTGGTGGTGCTCAGGTCTTACTCCTAGCTTTGTGCTCAAGGGGCCGGCACTCCACCCACTGTACTATTGTTCCAGCCCATAACTGTATTTTAGAAGTAGATGTAACCTTCTATATCAGTCTAAGATAACATCAAAAAATAGAAAATGTTTCAGCAAGACAGCGTTTAATTCTCCTGAATCTGAATGCTCTGCTGTCTGTGGTTGGTTTCCTCTCTCTGCTCTAAGGTGTATCTGAGCTTCAGCAAGAGTAAACCTTGAAGGACAGGGCGTCCACAGCCTCCCAGTCCTAGCCCACACTTCCCTCTCTGAGCTACACATCAGGCCCTCACCAAATGTTCTTGTACAGAGACCCACTGCAGCATTCACACTAACAAAAACACAGAAATCAGGACTGGAGCAATAGCACAGCAGGTAGAGCATCTGCTTTGCGTCCGGCCAACCTGGGTTCATATTCCCAGCATCCCATATGGTCACCTGAGAACCACCAGGAGTAATTCCTGAGTATAAAGCCAGGAGTAACCTCTGTGCATTGCCGGGTGTGACCAAAAAAGCAAAAACAAAAACAAACAAACAAAAAAAACCAGAATGTGTCAACTACATTATGCTGTTTTCACATAAGGAAGCATTTGATATAAATGATTTTCTTTTGATATGGAAAATAGGTTCACAACACATTAGTGAATAAAAAGTATAGATTATAGAAGAGTTTGTGCGAGATGCCATAGTACGGCAGAGAGGGCATTTGCCTTGCATGCAGCAGATTGATGTTTGATCCCTGGCACTCCATATGGTCCCCTGAGTACCACCAGGAGTGATCCCTGAGTAAGGTCAGGAATAAGCCCCTGAGCACCTCAAACAAAAAAGGAAAACAGCTTCTCCCCCCAAAATTGGCATATGGATCGTATTCCCCAAAGCAATATAAAATGTGTATACGTGTGGGGGTGGGGGTGGGGGGGTGTCGAGGATTGAACCCTGGCCTCATACATGCAAGGCATGTATTATCCTGCAAAGCTACATCGCTAACCCTTAAACTTGCTTTGAAGGATAAAATAAGGGGCCAGAGAGAGATTTGAAAGGACCAGAATATGTAATTTGTGTATGGGAAGCCCATGTTTAATTCCCAGCACCTCATACTCCTCTAACACACCTGGGAGGAACTCTGGAGAATTGTGCCAGGAGTAGCCCTTAAGCAGTGCTGAGTGTGGCCCCAAACTAAACAAAAAAAATTTTGTAAGTTTGTATATGAGTGTGTGTATGGGTGTGTGTGTGTGTGTGTGTGTGTGTGTGTGTGTGTGTTTTGATGACAGTGGTGCTCAGGGCTTACTCCTATTTCTATGCTCAGGGATCACTTCTAGCAGAATAAAGGGGACCATATGGGGTACCAGGGACCAAACCCAGGCCGACCATTTGCAAGGCAAGCATCTTACTTTCTGCACTCTTTCTCCAGCCCCAAAACAACAACAACAAAAAGTTGATAAAATGTAAAACAAGGACAGGGTTGCAGCTCAATGCGCAGCTGCCTTGAATATGTAAGACCTGGGCTTGAGTCTAGAACAACCAAATAAAAATAAAAAGAGGAACCAGAGCAATAGTACAGCAGGTACGGTGTTTGCCCGGCGTCCCATATAGTCCCCTTAGTCCCTCCAGGAGTAATCTCTGAGTGCAGAGTCAGGAGTACGTCCTGGCATCACTAGGTCTGGCCCCCAAACGAAAACAAAATAACAGAAAAAAGGAGATTTATGGTGATAGGGACAAGAAAATATGTTTATTAATTTGTTTCACAAATTGCTGATTTTTTTTTTTTTACATAAAAATGACTTACTTTGTTTTACTCCAGAGGGCTTTAAAGATCCAGCTCTGTATACCTCCTGGTTAAAGCCTGACAATGCTTTCAATGTATGGAAAACCCAGCGAGCCTTTAGCAAGTATGAGAAGTCTGCAGCCTTGGTCAGCAACAGTCAGTTCTTAGTGAAGCCACTTGATATGATTGTGGGCAAAGCATGGAATATGTTTGCTTCAAAGTAAGTAAAATTTAAACACACATTTCCCATCGATATGGGATGCTGGGAATCGAACCCAGGTTGACCACATGCAAGGTAAATGCCCTATCCACTGTACTATCGCAGATAATATAATGTAAACATAGATGACAAGGGGCTGGAGCGATAGCACAGCGGGTAGGATGTTTTTTTTTTTTTTTTTATAATTTATTTATTTATTGAATCACTGTGGGAAAAGTTACAGAGCTTTCGGGTTTAGGTCTCAGTCATGTAGATACCGAACACATTTCCCTTTACCAATACTCATTTTTAACCCCGAACCCCAATAGACCCCCACCTCCCACCCCTCCCAATTCTTGTGAGGTAGATGAGTTCTAGTTAATACTCTATCTACTTTGACTAGATAGATTATTTCGATAGAAGATGCACAATTATTGTTAAGAGTTTACGACCCACCCTCCCCCCCCCAATCAGACATGCTGAAACAGCGTTGTGAAATGATTTGCTTTCTACAACTTGGTTTAAGAATAAAATGATGTCGCGCGGCCGCGATAGCGGCCGCGCGGTTTTGAATTTCTGCTATTTTACTTATTGACCCTGGAAGAATTTCTATTAAAAGTTAGCTAGTTAAGAGATTGGTTTCTGTGTCCTGGAGTCGTGGCCGTGCCGGAGAGCCGCTCGTGGGGGGCAGCTGGCGACCCCGGTGGGGCGTGGGGGACGGCCCACAAAGCCCCCCTTCCCATGAGGTCCCCGCTGCTCCCCCCCCCCCGAGCCCGGCTCAAACCCGCTTTCCACAAGGCTCCCGTGCGGCCGCCATCTTTCTTTCCAGAGAGGAGCGGGCGGGCCGGTCAACGCCCTTCCCCCTCCGGGCAGGCTTGGTGGCGCGGATCAACACAAGTCCATTTGCTTTTCTGCTCCAAGCGGCTGGTTCTCTGTGCTAAGTCCTTGTGCCTCCGGGGCCGTGGCCGTGCCGGAGAGCCGCTCGTGGGGGGCAGCTGGCGGGTAGGATGTTTGCTTGCACGCGGCTGACCCGGGTTCAATTCCCAGCATCCCATATGGTCCCCCGAGCACTGCCAGGAGTAATTCCTGAGTGCAGAGCCAGGAGTAATCTCTGAGCATCACCAGGTGTGACTCAAAAAGAAAAAAAAAATAGATGAAAAGATCTGGAATTACCTTGTTTGGACTGATCTAATATAAATAATGTATATGGGTAGACCTCATAAACAACAATTTATTTCGCGATCTGCAGGCTTAGATGTCTGTGATCAAGGTATTGGCAGGGCTGGAAAGGTAGTCCAGGGCTCTTAAAGCACTTCCCTCACACATTGCTGTCCCTGGTATGAATTCCCTACATCATGTATGGTCCCTTAAGGGTCACTCCTGAGCACAAAGTCCCTGTGGTATGGCCCCTAAACAAACAAAAAACAGTGGTGTTGGCATATCTGAAGTAGGTAAGGTCCACTTCTTGCTTCATTCATTGGTGGTATTTTCACTGACCCTTAATTGGTAGAAGGGGAACGGGAAGTCCATAGCCCTATGAGAAGGGCATTAATGCCCTTCATGAGACACTGATCTTCACCTGTACCCAATCACCTTCCTCAGACCCCTTCTCCTGACTCCATTTCCCTGGAATTTGCGGTTCATCATAGGAACTTCAAGGAATAATATATCCAATCCAAAGCATGGCTGCTACTTTGTAGGTGTGAAACTTTGGGTATGTCAGGCTTCATTTCTTTATCTAGATAATTTGATCCACTGAGAGGATATATGATGAGGATTAAATGAGAAAAATCATAAAAACACCGAGTGCAAGGGATGGGAACTAGTGGTTACTATATATGCCTAGCATGTACCTGAACTGGGGGTGATTTCTGCATCACATGGTTCCCAAAGCACCAGCTGGTGTGGCCTAGAGGTCCCCAGACCTGCCAGGGTAACCCAGGTCTCCGAAGCCCTGCAGGACCTGAGCAGCATTGCAACCTTGGGCTCTTGCACTATACCATCAGTCTGGCTGACAGAACTACTAGTGGGGCCTTTGGATCTCATGAGCACTGCATGGGAGATTTCCTTCCCTATATGAAAACAAATATAACAAATATACAGCTGTTGTAGTGCCTGACTAGTAAATGCTCTGCTGTTTCTTTATGTTCTTTATTGGGAGTGGGTATATTGGGCCACAACCAGCACTGCTCAGGGCTAACAACTGACTGTTCAGGGATAACTGCTGGCAGTTCTCAGGGAACTCTATGCAGTGCTGAGGGTTAAACCAGGGTCTGCCACATGCAAGACAAATGCTGGAACCCTTATACATTCTCTCTAATCCTATTCCGTATAATGAATGTTGAATATACAGAGCAGTTTTTAAATGAAATAAAATTAAATAGAAATTTTATTAGTAGTCAGAGACATTTGGGGCTGGAGAGATAGTATAGTAGGCAGGGTGCAGGACTTACATGAGGCTGACCCGGGTTCAATCCCTGGTACCTCGTTGGGCCCTGAACACTAAGGCTTGAGTAGTTCCTGAGCACTGCCAGGTGTGGCTCCAAAAGAAACAAGAAAAAAGGCAGGGAGCTTGAGGTTTGTGTCACAGTAGTGGTTCTCAGGTTCACAATTCCTGGCTCTGTGCTTTCTGACCTCATTGACATATTTTGAAGGTTTGCTAATGTTTGACATAAACACTGAAGTAAATATAAAAATTTTAAGAGACTCTGCTATTTTCAAATGTTCATGAATCAGGAAAGCCCTATTTATTGTTCAAGTATTATTTATTTGCTTGAGATACTTTGTTTTTTGTTTTTTTCCCATCAGGGCCTACGTTCATCAATACACAAAATTTGGAATTGAAGAAGAAGACTTTCTGGACAGTTTCACATTGTTAGAACAAGTTGTTTCCAGTTACTGCAATCTTTGAACTTAAAGAGTGAAAAGTCCCCCAAGTTCTTTTCTGTTTGTTTTTGTTTGGGGACTACTCCAAGCTCAGTGCTTGGAAGTGCTCCAGGAGTTGTGTGGAAATAAGGGTTAAACTTATTTAACCCTTATTGCATGCTCCCACATGCAAAACATGTGATCTAGGAGCTGGAGAGACAGGACAGTGGGTCTTACATGCAACCGACCTGGGTTCAATCCCCAGTAACCTGTAATTCCTGAGAATCTAAAGTGTGGTCCCAAAACATAAAATATGTGTTGCAGCCCTTTGGGCCAACTCAACCCTAAATTATTTTTGTTTGTTTTAGGGTCACAGCGGTAGGGTGTTCGTCTTACAAGCAGCCAACATGGCCGACCCGAGTTCGATTCCTCCACCCCTCTCGGAGAGCCCGGCAAGCTACCGAGAGTATTCGATATGCCAATCACAGTAACAACAAAGTCTCCAATGGAGACATTACTGGGCCCGCTCGAGCAAATCGACGATCAACGGGAGGGCCTTTTAGGGTCACACCTGATGGTACTCAGGAATACTCCCAGCTTTGTACTTGGTGGGGTCATTCCCAGTGGTGCTCAGGGAACCATGTGGTGCTGGGGATGAAACCCAGGACTCTTATGTGCAAAGCATGTGCTTATCCATTAATCTATTTTTATGAACCACCTGTAATTTTATAAATAAAATATTCTGAATACTACTTTTTCTATGAGGTTTTCAAAGTTCTATCTGTTAATTAAGTAATAAAACTGAATTATCACTCTTTGCATTTTTCTTCTTGGTTTTGAATCATACCCTGTTGTACTCAGGGACTACTTTCTGCTTTGTGCTCAGTAGTTGTTCCTAGAAGCACTGGGTCAGGGGTTGGGGGGTGGGACAGGGGGGATGTGGTGCTGAGAATGAACTCCAGGCTAGGCTTTCCATATGTAAAGCATGTGCTCAGTTTACTGAACTGTCTCTGGCCCCATGACATATTGGCTTTTGGGGTTATACCCAGCGATGCTCAGGGCTTATTTATGGCTCTGCACTCAGGAATTATTCCTGATAGTGCTCAGGGGACCATATGGAACGACAGGGATCAAACCAGGGTTGGCCACATGCAAGGCAAATACCCTACCCATTGTACTATTTCTCCACTCCCACCATGATAATTCTTTCTGCCTGATAAGCCCATAGAAACAGAAATCAAGGAAACTTATTAATGGAGAATAGCATGTTTTCAATAAAACATCTATAGATCCTGCATTTTCCTTTTAAAGAAAAATTGATACTCTTAGAAATAGCTTTATAAACATTATACTACTGAGATGTTGAAACTCTAGAACTATATATTAAAAGAGAAAATTTTGTTTTCTCCTGTGTTCCTAAATCTTTCCCTTATCCTCAGAAAATTCCATAAATATGAGTTAAATCAGAGCTCAAGTTTTGTTTTGTTTGGGGGGCCCACATCCTGCAGTGCTTGGTAGGGATACTCCTGCCTCTACACTAGGAATTACTTCTGGTGATACTGGACGTATCATATAAGATGCTGGGGATCAAACCTGGGTTAGTTGTATTTAGGGTAAGCACCCTATCTCTTGAGTCCATGAGTACAATTTATTTTTCTTTTTGGGTCACACCCAGCAATGCTCAGCATTGCTCCTGGCTTTGCACTCAGGAATTACCCCTGGCGGTGCTCGGGGACCCATATGGGATGCTGGGAATCGAACCCAGGTTGACCACATGCAAGGTAAACACCCTATCCACTGTACTATCGCTCCAGCCCCGAGCACAAATTTTTAAACACAATTTATTTATTTGGGGAGGAGCAGCAGAGGATATACCTAGCAGTGCTCAGGAGCTATTCCTGACTCTGTGCTTACAATCTGCTGGTGTTTGGGAAACCATAATGGTGACTGAACCCAGGTTGGCCACATACAAAGCAAGGATCTTACCTTGTTCTCTTTCCAGCCCCCCAAGCTTTCATTTACAAAGGTCAAAGAAGCAAACGCCTGTTGGATTAAAGTAAAGTATTTAAGGATAAGAGAAAATAAAAAAGACATTCCTAAGGGTGTTTGGAGGATCCTCCCAGGAGGGGAGATGCATGTTGAAAGGAGACTATGGACTGAACATGTTTGCAACTCAAAGCCTCTTTTGCAGATCACAACACTCAAAAGGAGAGAGAGAACACAAGGGATTGCCCTGCCACAGAGGCAGGGCGAGATGGGAGGGATGGGGGTGGGAGGGATATTATCCATGGTGGTGGAAAATGGGCACTGGTGGAGGGATGGGTATTTGATCATTGTATAATCGAAACCCAAGCACAAAAAATTGCAAATCTACAACTGTACCTCATGGTGTTTCACTAAAAATAAAAAAATAAAAAAATAAAAAAAGACATTCCTGCAAGCTCAATAAGTAGAGGTTCAAAGGGGAACAACACAATGTAATTTTGTTACAGTAATCACTGTCCTGTGTGTTTAAATGTATTCATATATGTGATATATATATATATGCTGGAGTGATAGCACAGGTAGGGCGTTTGCCTTGCATGCAGCCAGCATGGCCGACCCGAGTTCGATTTCTCCTCCCCTCTCAGAGAGCCCAGCAAGCTAACGAGAGTATCTCGCCTACACGTATATGCCAACCACAGTATATGCCAAACACAGTATATGCCAAACACAGTAACAACAAAGTCTCACAATGGAGACGTGACACATATATGTAGCACTGTAGCACTGTCCTCCCCTTGTTCATAGATTTGCTCAAGCAGGCACCAGTAACGTCTCCATTGTAAGACTTGTTACTGTTTTTGGCATATCAAATATGCCACGGGGAACTTGCCAGGCTCTGCCGTGTGGACAAGATACTCTCAGTAGCTTGTTGGGCTTTCCAAGAGGGATGGAGGAATCGAACCTGGGTCGGTCACGTGCAAGGCAAATGCTCTACACGCTGTGCTATCGCTCCAACCCATATATACACATATATGTATATGTATATACTATATATGGTATTTTTGACACACCCAGTGATTCTCAGGAATTACCTCTGGCTACACTCAGGAACTACTCCTGGAGGTGCTCAGGGAGCCATATGGGGTGCTGGGAATCAAATCCGGGTTAGCCACGTGCAAGACCCCTCAACCACTGTAATATCACTCCAGCCTTAAATGTATTCTTAGTTGAAGTGAATAGTTTGAACCACAAGAGGGGGCTGTTGTAAAATGTTACAGTGTGAACCTTTTTTCTTCTCCCACTTTTATTCTATAAATGGGTAAGATTTTCAATTTTAATCAGTTATTTAGAAATACATATTAGGGGACCAAGGATATTGTTCCTCAGTGGTGGTTTGACCAATGGTATCAAAAAACAAAGTCAAGATTTTGTTAATACAAGAGAAAAACGTTTGCTGGCTTCTCTTGAATTTTCTGGACATGAAAAAATTAGGGCCTTTTCTCTCTTCTTATTTTACATTTTGGAATGCCACAGCAGAAACTAATTTTACTTAACTAGAGCTTTAAAATTATGTATAGGAATTTTGCTGATTAGATGATTAGTTTTCCAATATTAGGGGTTAGAGCTTTTACCCAAATTACACTATATGGAGAAAATGATTGTACTTGCTGAAACTGACAAATATATGTGGGTTTCACTCATATGGACAACACACACTTGGAAAATGACAACTCAAGGGGTCTGGTATGTCTCAGTAAAATGCATGCATGCAATGGGTGAACAGATATAAAAGGAAAACAAACAGGAACATTTGTCCTTTCTGTCAAATCTACCAGCGGTGACTTCATTTTATAGGGAGAAATGACACTGAACAGTTTCATTGGTTTCTTCCTTTCTTTGCATATGGAAATAATTACCTTTTTGCTGTTTTTCCTATCAACTGTTGCTATGACTTAAAATACTGAAACAAATCTTACTTCTAAGGAATGTAAAAAGTGGTCTCTTCAGTTCCTATAAAGACACACCCCATTGCTTCATTTTGTTAACCCAACCAAGTACATTTAAAAATTAATTACATTATAATTTTTCAAAACAAAGTTAAAATGACTTAGTACTGGAAAGATTTAAAGACTAAAACAACTTCTCAAACTAAACCGCATCAATTTGAAGATCTGTAATTAAATTACTCACTTGGGGTTAAGCTAATTCTGAAGAATTGTTAAAGCCTAGAAGTGAAGCTTTAAAAAACTCCTAAATGGCTGGAGCGATAGTACAGGTGGTAGGGCATTTGCCTTGCATGTGGCCGACCCGGGTTTGATCCCCGGCATCCCATATGGCCCTCAAGCACCACCAGGAGTAATTACTTAGTGTAGAGTCAGAAGTAACCCCTGAGCATTGCTGGGTGTGACCCACAGAGCACCCAAAAATTAAAATAAAAAAACTCTTTAAGGGCTTAGTAGATGTCTCAGTGGGCTGGAGTCAGGCTCTGCATGCGGGAAGCCCAGTTGATCTCTGCAACCATATGATCCCCTGAGCAATGAGACTGAAGTAGCTCCTGAGCACTGCCCATGTGTATCCCTCAAACAAAAAGTTGACTTGTTAAAAAATTATAAAAGTTTTAAGTGTGGGTCATGGATATAGTTCATTGGTAGAGCAGTTGCTTTGGATGCCTCAGCTCTAGATTTTATCCCAGCAACAGCAAAAACAAAAATCCCTAAGTTAAAACTTTTATACTGAGAAAAGAATTCATAAGGTACTAATGGAGGTAAATATATTTCTACTTTGGTGGGCAGGAGGTAAGGTGCTAGTTTAGTCTGTGGTTCCAATGAGCACCACTAGGGGTCACTCCTGAGAGTGACCTGATCCATACCCCTAAATATGCTGGGTGTAACCCCCAAAACTTATCTGGTTTTTGGCAACTGTTGGAATTAGAGGCATGTGCAAATTAGAAATAAACAATGAATAACTCATAAATCTTTCTCTTCTTCAAGTTATGATTCACAACTGTACTATCTGTATGTGTGAGTACCTCAGTATTTGCAAACCTGTTTTAAACATTTACATGGAAAAGTATTAATTTGGAATAGTGATTTGTGGGATGGGGAAATAGCTCAAAGGATTAAACAAATAATTTGCAT